AGTGTGGAATACATGCTGTCTAAGTACACAGCTGGAAGAGGGTGTTTACCCCGGTTTCATGTTAGGGAGAGGAAATTTGTATAATCCCCATCTACTTCAGTTGATCTCCACTATTTGCAATATTGGATGAAATCATTTAATAAGAAGAGACACAAATGCATGTCTCTAACTTAATTTTTATGTGGTTATTATGTTTAAAATCTCCACACTGCAGAGGCAGTGTCTGAGTTTCCCTCAAATGAGTTGATATCCAATCCTATGTAATTGTAATCACATTTCATTGAGCTCCTTCCAAACTTTGTATCACTCCATTATTTCTGAAAATGTTTCTTCTTTTCTCATAACTACATGAAATCCTTTCAAAATATAACCAAAAGAGATACTTGATAAGTTAAAGGAATGCATTCTGCCATACTTTCTCTCTTAAAGATTCATTTCAGATTTTTCATAAGTGAAACTAAAAATACTTCAGAGAAAGATATGAAACATAAAATGTGCCACGTTCAAATTTGCTACAGGAAAAATTAAGAAATGAAAACCAAAACCAATTCAACAAGTTATTGTAGTAAATCTGTTTCCAAAGGATCCAGAAATTGTTGAAGGAATAATGACATCTAATCTTGGATGTTCCTATGCTTTTCTTCTAAACTTGAGGTCTGCAGACGTTAAAGTGAAGTTTAAAGCAAATCTAGCTCAGTGAGTTCTTAAAAAAATTGACATTGTAACAGGACCCTATATCCAGCTGTTCTGTGGTCAACTCTGTCTCTTTATCCCAAAGGCAAAACTCTGCAGAAAGATATTGCTAGTTTTGCTTTTATTCCATAGTGGTCAAATATCTTACTCTTAATTTCTTAAATGTAAAACAAACAATACCTTTTACTTGGATAAGAGTATGCATTTCATATTTTCCAAATATTTCGAAAAGCTAAAATCATAGATCTGTTGGTTTGCCGTTTTTACTAAAATGTCAAAATGCAGCAGGACAGTGTGGATATAGCATTTTGGGGTTTAGATAGTAAGTTTAGGAAGGAAACAACCAAGAACACACCTGCCTTGGGCACTGGCTTGGGCCCTGGTAGGTTCCAGAACAGCAAGTGTCAGGTATCACTTCAGAAGAGATAACATGAATCTGTACACACATCCACACTAACACAGAAAGTAAAACAGAAATATAACTGAATTTATAGTCAACATACCGCTATGTGATGCAATAAAACATTAGCATCTTTGTTTTTCCACGTCATACTATGTGATTCTTTTTAGCACCAGTAATGAAGTACTTATATTTTTCCTAAAAGTTAACGTGTGTTGCAGAACTGCAAGCATCAAGGTGTCAATGTGCATTTGTAATGCAGTGGAAAAATAAAGCAAAATTTAGAACAACATCAGACTTTAAACTGCAAAGTATTTTTAAATAGAGCATTTAAATATTGCAGGAGTTTAACTTTGAAATCAGTTTTCAATACAAGAATTTGATGACGTTTACAATTCTATTTTAATTTGCTTTAGCCGCTCTGCCTACTAAATGATTGTGAACCAACAGGGGAAGAATAAATTATATTGCTCAGGATAACTGTTCCAAAGTAAATGTTTAGTTGTTCTAGATATTGCTTCAAGGTCAAATAAACAATCTGAATGATTTTTGTAGGTCACACTTGCCTGGGACCCACTGCAGATGCCTATGGAATATATTTTCTGGAATATATTGACTGGTTGACGGCAACTGACCCTGGTAAGATTCAGTCAACAGGCTATCATACTCTGGGTATATCTCTCCCCAAAGCAAGACCAGACAAAAAGAAAGGAAGAGAAAAAGACATAACTCTGAAACACTGTCTGGGCACTAAAGTCAACCACCCCATCACTGGGAAATCTAAGGATGAGAGATGAAAGTAATTTTAATCAGTGCAAAGTAGGCGGAATTCACACTACTCCCAAGCTACCGAGCTGAGCTATCAGTCAATTCAGTCACACTAGCTCCATTTCCAATACCTGTCTATTAAAATGAAAAGTACATTATGTCCCAACAACTGTGACAACCAAAACACAATCAGTTTTAAAAGCAAAATTCTGACTTCCAGATAGACTGAGCAGAACCACTGTAGAAAAAAAAAAAACAAAAAACAAAAACAGGAGGACAGTAAGGGACATTTTATTTCTATCATTCCTGTCTTCATTAAAAATAGCAAGGTAGAGATTACAGCATATTGCCCACCCCCACCCTCCCAATCCAGAGAGAGTCTGCCCATAAATCCAGATGAGATTCAAAATCCGAATCACCAGGTTCAAGAAGCAGATTGTAAAAGTCGCTACCCTGAGTTATCCGAAAACTTAAATTTGAAATGTAGTGTTCCTTCAGTCTGGTGCTGCCAAGTCATACTTTACCACATGAATGTTCCAGAGAACTGACACATAAACCAGGGTGGGGGCTTCCCTCATGCTTAGAAGGATATTTTTCAATTATATTTTCTGTTACATCCTAAGAGATAAAAGCTGTATCTGCAAGTGATTAAAGGATGTTTTATATTCATGGTTTCATTTCTGCTGCAATAAATGCGTAATTTAAACCACACATAATTCATAGCAATTTAGGCCCATTACAGAGGTCTAGCTTCTTCTTTTTTTTTTTTTTAAATGTTAGTTACTAATTAAAACTGAGTTTCACTGCTATGCCAGCTTGTGTCTTCATCATACAGGTTTAATGAGTTAAAACCTCCTTACATAAAAATGAAAACAGTAATAAGACAAAGCTGCAAGCTGTTACGTTTTCAGTGTGTGTGGTAAAGATTAAGGACGTTCGCTGGAGGTAGGAGTTTGCAGAGAAAGCACTTGTAATTTCTTTCTCAAAATGAAGAAGTGTAAAGGATTTTTGAGAGAAATGTGGAATAGCACTAATTTCTCATTCCCAGTTGACCCCTCCTCCCCCCAAGAATTTCAACTCATCAGTCACTTTTAAAAGGAGAACCGATGGGGTATTTTAATATAATCCTGAATATAGGTTTAGATTGAAAATGGGAATTGGGACCTTAATTAATTATGTTGCCGAGTGTTTTGAACTTTAAGACAGACTGAGGCCAATGAGGCCATTTCAGAAGTCTGCAGCCTTCTGAAAGTTCACGGATTAAAACTTGGGTAAAATGACAGTATCTTTCTGACATCTGATTAATCCCACATGCAGAACCAGTGTGAGGAATTAATACTTTTTTTTTTTTTTTTTGCTGTTTTCACTTTCTGAAACCACTGTAATAAGAGACTGACATAAAATCAAAACCAAATATAAACACAGTCTGCAGCTAGGGTTACAGCCTTATTATCACTCTTAATAAACAATAATGAATAATAACAAATACTGGCCGCCCCCAGAACACTCCGCTCTGGATGCATTTGCTCTCGCATCCATCCATCACAGCTTTCAGGATAATAAAACAATTCAATCCCATCAAATCCTCACAACCGCTCCCTCGGGAGGGATGTTTTATCTCTACTTCTGCGAGCCCGGGAGGATTTTTCTTGTTTGAAAGGGGCGGAGAAGGGAGCGGGGTCCTATTTATTTCCATTGAGGACTCTCCTGGTTCTCACAGGCGCTCAGGCCGGGGTGGGAGGCCAGGAGGAGGTGTGGAGGTCCCCTCTTGGAGAAAAGGAAAAAAAAAAAAAGGGTTCGGGAAGCCAGGCAGCAGGAGGAGGGGGGGGTAGCTTGGGCAAGAGAGCGGGCACTGCGACTAGATGGAAAAAAAATAATAATAAATTCTTCTTTTGTGGTCTAGCGGAATCGAAAGAAGAGACCTAAACAAACGTACCCACTCCACTAAGTCGCGAAGAAGAATTCTGTTCAAAAAAGATAAAATCCAACCCAGAGACATTTGCTCGGGTTCACTTCCCGCTCAAGGTCTGGGTTTCAGGGCGCTGCCAGCATCCCCAGCAGGAGGTGGACAGCGCCCTGAAGGGGACCTGGAGGGCAAAGCCACCTGCCCCAAGGACAGAGCCGCCTGCGCCCCAGTCCCGGGGCCTCGGCGACCAGCACGGTCTTAGCGCGGGGATGTCGGGGAAGGGGCGCTGGGAGTATGGGGGGACAAGGAGCGTGGTGAAACGAAACCGCACCCCAAATTCAGCAGTTCTCGAAGTGCCCCCAAGAAAACCGCTGGGGCCAGGAACCCCTCGTGGATGCCTGCGTGGCGGGGCCGCCCGGCTCTCAGCGCAGAACCGCAGGGAGCTCCAAATGGAGCGAACCCCGATGCGCCCAGACGGGACCGGGGCACGACGCCTTGTCGCCCCAAGCCCAGCGGGAAGGGCTGCGCCCACAGTGCTCGCTCCGCAGCCCGGGTAAACGCAGGGTCAGGTCCCGGACCGCCCTGCTCAGCTCGGAGAAGTTTCTGCACCGAGGTTTCCCCACCGCGCAAAGACAGACCAGGGGCCAGAGCGGCGGGGGGTGCTCTGGCGCGGCAGCTAGCGATCTTGGGGGGCCCCCGAGCTGCCCGGCTCGGGGGCCGCCGGCCCGGACCCCGCGCCCGACCTGCAGGCGACCAAGGCCCACGCGTTGTTCTCGCCCCCCGGGTTTCGCGCTGCGCGCAGACGCCCTGCCCCCCGAGACCCCAGCCCCGCGGACTCCTGCGAGCGGCGGGCACCGACCCGGGGACCTCGGCAGCTGCCCTCCCCACGGGCGCGCGAAGTTAACTGTCCAGACCAAGTGCGGGATAAAGGGAGAGCGGCTTCCCCGACCCCGCAGCTTGTGCGTAACCGAACCCCAGTATCCTCGGGGGGTGGGGGTGCAGGGTCCCGCCACCTCTGCTAGCCCGGCTCGAGGCCGCCGGCCACCGCGCCAGCCCGGGGAAGCGAGCGAGCCCTGCTCCAGCCCTCGCCCCGCCGCCGCGGAGCAGCCCCTCGGGGTGCCGGCCCGAGCGCCTCACCCCTTCCGAGGGGAGCCCTCGGGTGCGAACCCGCCTCGTGCGGGGCTCGCCGCGGCCGGCTGAGGCGCCCGGGGTGGCTCTGCAATCTGCACTTACCTTTAAAAACGTTTGTTTTGCCGCGGGGGAAGAGGAAAGACTCCCTCCCCTGGAGGTGGGGTGCGACACAGTCCAAATCCGGGGCGCGGGCCGAGATGCTGAGCACCCGGGCTCGGGAACCGCGGTCCTGGGGGGCAGGGGCGCAGGCAGATAAAAGAGAAAAAAAATGAAACCGTGTCCCAAGTGTCCCAACTTTGCGGTCGGCGCTGCAAACTTCAAAGGCGGGCGAGGGCTGGCGGCGCGCGGCCGCCGAAGTTGCCGCGAAGTGGAGCGGGGAGCAGCGCGGGGCTGGGTTTGGGGGGTCCCCAGGCTGAGCCGGGCGGCGGCGGGAGGTCCTTATAAAGGCGGGGGGGCGGGCGGGGGCCGGAGGATGCTGCGCGCGGGCGGGCGGGGGCTCGGCGGGCGGCCGCGCGGGGCTGGAGCGCGGCGCGGGGCTCGGCGGGCGCACGGGCGGCTTCGGCGAGGGTGCGCGGCGCGGCGCGGTCCGCTCTCCGGCGGCTCGGAGCGGGGAGTGTGTGTTCGCTCCCGAATGTCACCGCCGAAGCCCGGAGCCGCCCCCCCCGCCCGCCCCGGCGCTGCCCGCCCGCCCCCGCCCCCTGCCCGCCCCCTGCCCGCCGCGCGCCCCCGAGCGCGCGCACACGGACACGCACCCGCGCCCCGAGCGCGGACCCTCGCGGGCGGCCCCGCGGGGAGCGCCCGGCCTGCGGGTCTCCCCACCCGCCGCCGCGAAGCCGAGGGAGGCCCCCCCCCCGGCCACCCCGGAACGTCTCCAAAACCGGGGAGACCCGGGCGCGCCCTGTCGCTCGGTTAGACAGACCGGGGTGCACAATAGAGGGGCACTGAGGGGCTGAAGTGGGGGGCGGGGTGGGAAGGCGAGTTCCACACAGAAGGCTGGAGGCGGAAAGCAGGGTGTGCCAACTGCTCGCTGCCCCACTTTGGCACCCCCCGCCTGCCCACCGCAGCCTGCAGTCGGGGGCGCCACCCCCGCGCGCCCACCCTGCTCCACCGTTTTGAAACTCAGCAGCTGTTTTAACAATTGAAAAAGCGACCCTACAGGACCAGTGAGAGACGGGGCAGAGTGTGTGAAGCCATTAAGGCTGACTAGGTAATTATGAGAAGAAGTTACCTAATTAGGAACCTGGCCTGGGCACGGGAAAACTGGGGGTGTGTGTGTGTGGGGGGGTGGATGGGGGGCGGGTGGGGGGGCGGCGTGTGATTCAGTGATCTCATTTTCATCACCGCGAACCTAGTTTCCAGAACGGGAATTTTAAGTTTTCAGACTATATTAAGATATAGTGTCAATACTGAGAGCATGGAAAACACTTGCCTCCTCTCATCGCCACAGCGAAATGAAGACAAATGGGTTGGAAATCACCCTTCCCGCGGCCGTTTTAAAAACTCTAGTCTCTTGGTTGGATGCCTGCTCCCAGCACTTGTCCACCGATCCTCAAGTTTTATGGCCCCTAGATCAGTACCGCAGGAGGTGTATTTAGGAAACTGTTTATACTCCACAAAAGAGTTTTTGAAAACCACATTTATTTTTTTTTTCCGCACTGGCGGGGACGTTGGGATCTCTGTGCAAGCTTATTTTTTTGCAGATAAGCCCAAGAGCTACGGCAGGGGATCCCTGGATCCCAGCCCAGAAGATCCAGAGCTGGGGCTCCTGCACCTGAGCTAGGACCCAGAGTCAGTCGCCCTGGCACTCATGAACATTCATTAAGTACCTCCTGTGTACCCTGCATGGCTTGGTGCTGAGATTTAAAGGTAAGAAGTCACACTCACTCTTGGGTGCTCACAGCCTGGTGGGGAGCCAGAGGCATCAAGGAATATGTGACTAGCACTGTTATCAGTGTGCCTGTTCCTTGGGATCATGGAAAAGGAAGTAGCTAACCCCCCCCTTTAGCGGGAACTCTTGGTGAGAGGTCAGTGGGGAGTCCTGAAGGATGAGGAAGAAAAGGCCAAGCAAACAAGGCATGGGGGGAGGGAAGGGCATTCCACAAACAGAGGCAAGTGAACAAGTTAAGACAGTGTCAAAGTCCACGGTGTGTGCTGGGAGCCTGGAGAAGGTAGGTGTGGTTGGGTTGCAGCTGAAGTGAGCACGGCCAGGCCAGGCCACCCTCTTTCCTGCCAATGACCCAGAAATTTCCCAAAGGTTGTGCTAAGTTGAGAAGCCATTAAGGCAAGGACAGGTTTTAAGGTTTGTAAATGTCATCAGACTGAGTTTCGAAGTTACCTGTGGTATCATTGTAGAAGACAAAAAGAAGGTTGCTAACAGTGGAGAGGTTCTTTCCAGAAGAAGACATTAGGCCACAAAAGTGCCAGTGGGAGGTTGTGACAGCTTCTGGGATAGTTAGGAAATGGGATAGACAGGACTTAGTGATTGGATATGGAGGGTAATGATGAGGAGGAGTCGTCTAGACCGACTCCTGGGTTTCTGGCTGGGGCAAGGAGGCAGGTGATGGTACTGTTTGCCAAGAGAAACAACATACAGAGAGGAGCAGTTTGAGGAAGAATGTAAACAAGCTCTGATTTAAACTCATGTGGAACATCTGAAGGCAGCACTGTGTCAGCAGCTGGAAGGAGAACTCGTTGGAGAGAAGATCCCGGCCAGGGGGTTCCACCAGGAGTCATTAGCATTCTTAAGTGAGGGAGAGGATGAAGGCAGCCAGGGAGGGGAGACGTAGGGTGGCATGTGCCAGAGCACCCATGTTCTGGGGTAGGTGGAGGGACAGGAACATGCATGAGAAAGGTGGAGACCAGAGCAGTAGGAGGAGGCAGACTTGAGAGCAGAGTTGATGAAGCCAAAGAAGGAAGGGGCTGGTGGGCATGTGACCCAGCCAAGCAGGATGAAAAGCTCCTGCGATTCTTCCAGATCTCTGGGTGGTGGCCATGCAGCCACTGTGGTCCAGGCAGTGGAATCTTGGGAACAGAGAATGTAATCTCATTACCTAGCGGTGCAGCCTTGAGAGGAGGAGGGTGATGAGAAAAGCAAGTTTGTAGTACTTTGTGGGATGTTTTCTCATGGGAGGCTCTTGGTCCTCATTGCATGATGGGGAGGGAAAGCAGGCAGGGAGAGAAAGCGAATCTACTCTGTTCCTTTTTTTTTTAAAGATTTATTAATTTATGCATACAAGAACTGGGGTGCAGGTCAGAGGTGGGGAAGGGGTGAGAGGATTCACCAGAGACAGAGTGGGGAGCAGAACAGGCAGACTGACTGAAATACACTGCTGAGGGGAGCAGCGGGCGAGACAGGAGAGGTCTGCTGTGCCATGTGGGTCACCTCCATGGCCGAGGATCGAACTCATGCTGCAGTGGCTGCGGATAGCTTCATAGTGCTGTGTCTTAACCCCTTGTGCCACCAGGGAGGCCCCTCTACTCTGTTCTTGAGGGTCTAGTTTCCTCCTCACTACTGTGGGGGCAACAGTGATCCCCCACAGGATTGATGGGGAGTTCACATAGACCAGTGATTGATAGTGATAAAAATGGCCATTAGGAAGAGTCCAGAAGACATGAAAGTGACTTGCATTCAGCCTATCAGTGATAGCCAGGGTCTCTGGGAAAGGTTTTGTTAGCATTCTGTGAAGGATATTTTTATGAAAGTGCCTACAAATCTCCTTGTATTGAACATCAGGGTTTGCATCTATCAATATGCGTCGGGTGTCAGTATACCCATCTTTGCAAAAAATAGGCCATTGGTAAAAACCAGTAGCAACTGTGTATATTTATATCTATAAACGTCTTCATTGTGTTTTGAAAGACTTGGGTGATGTGCCATCTTAGAACATGCATTATTTAGTCACACAGACTTGCGTGTAATTCAAGACTCTGATAATTATTTGCCACAGGACAAAGAGCTGCAGTAGTTCTCTTTTTTTCCAATATAAAAATGGAACAAATTATAGTTCACTTTGAAGATTAGATACTTTAACATATTCAAGGGTTAGGCAGATATTTGATCATGTCTGAATTTACTTTTAGACTGTGATAGTCATGAATACGTAGGCAACTGGAAAAAAGAATTCCAACGTGATTATAAAATCAAGAGTGGAATCAAGTCTATTTAAGGGACCTTCTAGTTCAGTCCTGTGTTAAGGCCGCAGTCCTTCAGGTGTGCTCTGTGGACTCGTAGGTGTTCGTGAGACACCTTCAGGGAAGGTCCACCAGGCCAGAGTTACGATATTCACACTAAGGTGTCATTTGCACTAATAGTGCAAGCAATAGTGGGCAGAGATGCTAGCTCCTCACCAGGAATCAAGGCATCAAACGTTACTAGTTGTTCCTAGAATTTTTGTTGCTACAAGTGTTGGTTTCACTACAAAATGTCTTTGATGGAGCAGGAACAATTATCCATTTTATTAATTTTCAACTCTTGGCTCTGTCCTTTCAGTGATGTGTGGTGAAATGGGAGACACGCATAAACTTCTTTTGCTGTGTCTGAAACTACAGTGTGAATTAAAGCACTTCAGTAATTGAGTTGGGAGCTAAATTAGCTGCTTTTTTCAGGAATTATATTTTTACGTGAAAGGACAACCGACAGACAAATTACAATTATTCAGATGGGGATATTTGGCAGACTTATTTTTCTCAAATGAATGAGGTGGGTCTGTCACTTCAAGGTAAACAACTGGCACTATTTATTTTCAATGAAAAATTTGAGCTTTCCAGTAAAAAATAGAGAATTCAGAAAACTCGTTTTTGCCACTGAGAGCTTAACTGCAGCCCTAATAAGATCTCAATCTTTTTAATTAGTGTGGTTTGGGGATTTGTATAATGATATAATGATATGGACTGACATTTGGAAGAGCTACATAACTCAGTGCTTTCCAAGAGACCAATAACACGTGATGTTTTAAAGTCATTCATAAGGTAAAGGCCCACTCAAAATACAAGATGTTCCAATGAATTTAAATATAATTGAGTATGAAAAGTTAAATATAATCGACTATGAAAGTTACGGTTTCATATTCGTGTTATAGTTGCAGTTGTAGGGTTTAAGAAACTACCACTTGTTGAATTTTGTTACAGCATCAAAGAATATCTAGAATTATTTGAAAAGCTTATTAAAATACTGCTTCATTTTTCAGTGATACATCTGTAAAGATGGATAGTCCTCATTTACTTCAAATAAAATTGTACCAAACTGGGGACAGAAGTGACATGAGAATTCTGCTTCTACTAAGCCAGACAATAAAGAGATTTGCAAAAATAAAAAAAACAATATCATGTTTTCTCATAGGTAGTAGGTATACACTTATTATTTTTAAATGAATTAATGCTGTATTTTAAAATTTCTGCTTTAAATCTGATATATTTGATACTGCTAGAAATAACCCATAGAACAAAAGCTCCTTGGAATTCTCAATAATTTTTCAAACTTCCTAAGAACCACTGCCACATGAAATAGATTTGAAGATCATCAGAGGCTCATTGTAGTTGTCCATAATGAGACGTCTACAACCTCAGTTGTATTGCACAATATATTTATCATTTTATGCAAATATAAATAGTACCCCCTGGTGCATATACTTAACTCCACAGAGTGTTGTAGCTGACCCATCTCTACTCTGGAGACGGGAACAAAAGAACTGGCACAAACCATCAGACAATCCTGATGCTTAATGAAACTATATCCCATCCCCAGATTTCCTTGTGACTTAGCACCAACATTCCTTTGTCTATTGTCTCCATTTCAATCCATTCTCTGCCCCACCCTCTGCATGGTGAGGCATGCTACACAATTCTTGAAGTACTTCTCTAAATTTCCTTCAAAATTAATGATTACCTCTACTTGGATGACTCTTAACACACTTAACCGATGTAAAGCTGAGCTGTGAGCTTGTAGTCACCTTTCTTCCTGAGGGAGTATAGTCACTTAATAAATAGTTGTTAAGTAACTATAGGCAGGTGCTAGGCTAGCTGTGGGGAGTAGAAGAATAAACAGGGTCCTCGCTCTCACTAGACTGAGATGCTTTTTGTGTACTAGGCTCAGGAAATCCTGGGTGCCTGGGGAAGTTCGTCAGAAAGGTGGGCGAGGAGAAGTGGGGAGCCTTTTTATAGAAAGTAACATCTCAATAGAGACCCAAAGATGGGTCAGTCAGTGAGGGTTTGAAGGAAGCAAGATCAACATAGGTTATGACATATTCAGGGAATGTCACCAAATGGAAAGCCTTCATTGTAAACAATTGCCTTAATTTTAAACATATACATAAGATCAACATATCTTTACCATTTCTTCTTTAAGTTTCAGTTTGAGAAGTAGAATTTTAAAATCATTCCAATACATTTAAATGCCTTTAATTTAAATCAGAATTCCTATTTACTGTAACAAAAGGATTGGGCTAAAAAAGGAGTAAAGAGTTCATTAAAAAACAAGCTCAAACAGGATTTTGCACAGGTTCCCAAAGATAGTTTAATCTACTGAAATAATTTAAAAATTTTATTTTATCCCAGATTTATTGAGATATAATTGATGTGAAACATTGTGTAAGCTGAAGGTGTAGAGCATACTGATTTGATATACATGTATGTTGAGACATGATTACCAAAATATAAGGCTAGTTAACAAATCCATGACCATGAATTTACACTTACTTTTATTTGTGGTGTGAACATTTAAGATTTGCTCTCTTAGCAACATTCAAGTATACTATAGAGTATTGTTAACTAACATTAAAAAAAATATTTACATTGTTCAAGGCACTGAGTTCATTGCTAAAAGAGGTATGCAAACATTTCAAGTATAGTATTTGCTCAGGGAAACTCTGTACTAAGGGTTCAGACATATTTTCTTTCCTTCCTTCAGATAGTAAATATTTATTGATTGCCTATTATCTGCTAGGTCCTGAGGATATATTATTAAAAAGACAGATGTCATCCCCACTCGCAGAGAGAGTACGGCACAATAGTGACTTTCAAATACTGCTCACGACATCGGACACCAAAATATAACTGCCAAGGGAGTAGTAAAAATTATAGGATAAAACTTAGTCACAATGGGGGAAAGTTTGAATTAAAGGAGAAGGATATGAGAGCCACAGAAATGTCACTGGGAAGAGTCCAGAGGAAGGGACTACCAAGATGCATTCAGAGGCAGTGAATAGAACAGATTTGCTGGGGTGAATTTTGCTAATGGAATTAATATAGAAAAATACTGAATACGTAGGTTGGTCAGATTGGAGTCACCATATTAGAAGAGAGGTTTGGGCTTCATCCTTTTGGTAAAACCTAAATAAATAAAACTGAAAAAGCAAGCCTTGTTGGTCACACTTAAGAGGCACTATTCTGGCATGTCAAAGAGTCACTCTCGATGGTAATAAATGTGTTTTTCTTACATAAACCCCCTCTTTATTTCACTTTGAAGTATATTATCTGCTCATTTACTGCAGTTTCCATGAACGTTTTTATTAATTGATATAATATAATTTATCATTCATTGATGGAAAACTGAAGTGTTTTACAACGTAAATCTAGAAAGCATTTCCTGAGAGCCTCCTGGGTTCTGAAAGAAGGATCTGTTGATGACACTGACTCTCTACTGTGGCACCTACTTCTTACTATGGGTCTACGCTGGCCAAAGGCAGCATGATGGCTGTGTTCAGTGCCCTGCACCGTACCATGTGTCAGTCTTGTAGCAGTGACAAATGACATGATGTCACAAGCTAGCAACCATGCTGCCAGGGTACTGAAGCTATGTGCACACAAAAATTAAAGAATGAGACAAACTCTGGGACAGACTAGAGTAGAAAAAAGGCTGAACGAATCAGGGGTGGGGGTGTATTCTTGGGTATAATCGGGGGTCCAGGATTAAATGATTCCTATATTGCTATAATTTAGAATCATTTAAAGTTGCTTTATTTTCTACATCCCATGGTCCATTTGGCTAAATAGAGTAACTGGGGTAACTTGGCCCAAGAACCTGATAGTTACATGCCAGTGATATTATAGCACCTAAGGCTGCACAGACACAAAGCATGGTTGTTTGAAAAATGTTGTGAAGCTCAGTGGCACCAGTTCCAGTGGGAAGATTGGGGTGACAGGTCTTGCAAAAATTTTGCAAAAATTGCAAAAATTTTGCAATTAAGTGACCTTGAGTAGTTGTCAAATCCCTCTGAGGCTCTGTTTTCTCATCTGTAAAGTAGGGATAATAAAAATTTCCCAGATTAGGTTATTGTGAGAATTAAACTGTCAGTAGGCTCCAAATAATTGCTAGTTCTTGTTCCATGGATTCTCTTTGCCTTAAAATACATAAAACATTTGCCACTACCTAGTCAGAAAACCATTTGTAAAGCGAAAAAGTCAAATGAATGGAATCATTCAGAACCTGCTCACTAGAATGGCCAATATGAGTCATTTCGTGTTGACTGTGGCATTATACCTAATAATCTCTGTCTAACAGTGTTTCTTGGTTACACCTTAAATCATGCAATAGGGGCCTCCCTGGTGGCGCAAGGGATTAAGATGCAGCCACTGCAGCACAAGTTCGATCCCCAGCCAGGGAGCTACCCACATAGTGCAGCAGACCTCTCCTGCCTCACCCGCTGCTCCCCTCAGCAGTGTATTTCGTCAGTCTGCCTGTTCTGTTCCCCACTCTGTCTCTGGTGAATCTTCTCACCCCCCACCTCTGGCCTGTACCCCAGTTCTTGTATGCATAAATAAATACATCTTTTAAAAAAAAATGCACTAAAAAAGACTCAACACTCCACAGTTCACAGAAGAGGATCCTGAGAGGCAGGGTCTGAGTGACTAGGCTGAGCCTGAGTCTCATTCTGTCAGACTCCAAGCCTGTGCTCTTAGCCAACTTGCCCGGATGTTCTGAGAAATTACTCAGAGTCTCGCTATCAACTGTCTTCACAGTTTCATTTTCTTCTTTGTTGGTGTTGCTGTGTTATGAGAAGTTTTCAAAAGAGGATTTTACCACAGAATTTGAGTTGCTGCCTCTGTAAAAGCAAAGTTAACCACACATACTGTTTTCACGGAAGTATGCCAATTTATCAATTCCAGCCACAAGCCTCTCAGGTCACAAGTTTTGAAGCTTAAACCACAGGAAGGTGGAATTGTCCACACTGATTCAGCTGCTAGAGTCTTGCACTCAAAATCATTTAAATTCCATCCTAGGGACGCAGTGTCGGTCTTTCCTTAGTGCTAGTCCATGAAATAGCTAGTCCATGAAAAAGTAGATAGTATGCACGTGTGCACACACAAACCTCCCCCCTCACCCCACACACACACATTTTACCACACTGTCCAAGAAGATTCACCATGTCCATTTGTAGCTGTTTGCATTCTTAATCCCAGCCCTGGGAAAACACTAACTTGCTTTGTATCTCTGGACTTGCTTGTGGAGTTCAGAAGAGAGAGCCCCAAGTAAATAAGTGGCACTACCATTAAGAAGTGAGACTGTAGGCTCAACACCACTATATATCAATGAGCCTTATTCTATTAGGGTCAATGTGGCGACACTGATTGGGGACTTAATAATAAGGACTAGCATCATTTTAATAATCTTAATATGAGTTGTTTTCATACAAAGGAAACATATGTGTGTGTGTGTGTGTGTATCCACACACACACACACACATACCTTTGATTCAACTGGGTTCCATTACAAAGAACTCCTTAATTGTGGAGCTCAATTATTTAAAACAAAAATCCACCCCTTCATGCACCTTGGGACTGTTTAATCCCTGCTGTTAGTTGAGTGGTTTCCATGTGCCTGCTACTATGATGCCCACTCAGTTCCACAAAAGCCATCTTCAATAACTGCTATTATGATTCCCACTTCAGAGATGAAGCTACCGAGGCAGTCAGAACTCATCATATTTCTCCGTCAAGAAAAGATCTCAACCCAGGCAGTGCCTTTCACTGACCATCTTGCCTCACCTTTCAGAATGGAATCAAGGTAGGCCCCCATCTGTGTGGGGAGATAGCTAAAGCATTCAAGGATAAGCCAAGTCCTGTCATATTGACATCCATTTTTAACTATTTCTCAGTCATTTGATATTTAAAACCTTTTTTTTGAGAAAATAAAACTCTTCTTGATTAGAAGAGCATTATTTACAAATTCCCTTACACTTCTCTGTGTGTGTTATCAGACTCAAATGTATTCCAGATTGGATTAGAGGCAGTAACACTGAATTTTATCACATTGCTACTTTTAAATACCGCAACTGGGAAAGAAATGTATTAATATGTGCCTCATTGCACCAAATCAGATTCTATTATAAAAGTAGATCAAGTATATATCATTACCCTATAAAATTCAAAGTCTGTATGTGCAAGGTAATGAGAAACAGAGGCCGCCCTCATTTTCTGAGTATAACTTCTTAACTCTCATTATGCTCTGTTGAAGAAAAAAATTGCATTATTTTGGGTCATTTAAAAGGGGTTAAGTCATTTTTTTCTGCATAATAAATTATAATTGAATCACTGAAATTATTTTGGGGAAACAGCTCCCATTCCAGCAGTGAATGGAAGACGTGACTCTGAAAAGCTCCTGGTGTGCTAAGGGAAAAATTTGATTTTTTTTCAGAAATATTTCTTTTTTTTTTTTAAGATTTAGTTATTTATACAAGCACTGGGGTACAGGCCAGAGGCGCAGGAGGGTGAGAGGATTCACCAGAGACAGAGCAGGGAGAAGAACAGGTAGACTGACTGAAATATACTGCTGAGAGGAACAGTGGAGGGACAAGAGAGGTCTGCCGCACCATGTGGGAATCTCCCTGGCTGGCTGGGATCGAACCCGCACTGCAGAGTCTGCGGATAGCTTCACAGCGCTACACTCAACCCGCTGCGCCACCAGGCAGGCCTCAGGAAAAATTTGATTTTTGCTAATGTAAACTTAGACTATGTAGTCTTAATCTTCTTCATCCCTTCAGATTAATCCTTATATGACATTTATCTTCACAAATATAACCAATATAGAACCTTACATTTTCTCTTTTGCTTCCTAGCCTCTTATCAGTAGTTTTCTGTATTTTCTAACTCCGTAAATTTCTATTACAGTGATAATTGTAGTGGAATTATATAACTCCCAATCCCCTAACCTTGAAATACACAGTCACACTCTGAGGAAATTCCTATTTTGAAGGAACCACAAATTTAGAGGTGGGACACATTTCTGCAATTAGAAGAGAATAACATCATGAAAATTCAAAAAGGTTGGAACCTCAGAGGTCATTTGAAACACTCAACTGCAAAGATCTCATTTGTACATCTGTCAAAATGTACAAAAATCATCCTTGATTTTGAAAGAACTTTTCAAAGACCTTATCTGTGTGGGAAATTGCCCAGTAACCTATTAGGAATATTTAATTTGTGTTAAACACAGAGTGTTATTCAAGGACATGATATATCTTATATCCAATCAATTCTAAACCAGAATTTTGATAATTTATTGTGTATAAGAGTGTTCTAATGGGAATAATTAATACAAACTAAGTAGGATCCAGAAAGAACTTCAAGTACACTACAGTGCCTGACTCTCTTCATTCCTATATGACAGACACATTTCCACACTTCCTATTTGCTCTTCCTCTTAATTTTCAGGCATGTCCAGAAAGACAAAATCCCAAGGAAGAAACCCAATAAAACCCAGAATAAAGGTAGTGGGAAATAGAAAAGAGAAGAGAGGAAGAGATATCACTAAGAACTTAAGATCGAGAATGAGTAGAAAATAAAAGGCTGGCAGTTAAATCACTAGGGTTAAGAGTAGTGAGTAGAGGGTGTGGACTAGAGGATTTGAGAAGTGACACAGGAAGAAAAAGAGAAGCAAGTGCACTAGAGGACTCCAGAAATGTAAGAGAGAAAGAATAATTTCTGACTTGGCACCAAATCTATGGGACCTATAAGAAAAGGGAGTTGCCTTTTTTTCCCCAAAGATTGATTTATTTATGCATACAAGAACTGGGGTGTAGGGCAGAGGTGAGGGGGGTGAGAGGACTCACCAGAGACAGAGTAGGGAGCAGAACAGACAGAATGACTGAAATACACTGCTGAGGGGAGCTGCGGGAGAGACAGGAGAGGTCTGCTGCACTCTGTGGCTAGGGATGGAACTCTGCTGCAGTGGCTGTGGATAGCTTCATAGTGCTGAGACTTAACCCCTTGCGCCACAGGGAGGCCCAAAGGAGGTTACTTTTAAGTAGGAAGGCAAGCCAAAGATTAGGAAGTCAGACAAGAAAGCAAGACATGGTGTTGGGAAGAAAATGCTTCACTGCATTCACTGGGATAAATATATACAGACACATACCTCATGCAGCCAGTATTTAAGTAATGGGCAAACAAATGACAGAAGGATGACTGTATTTACTAGGGACCAGATTAGCCCATTTCCAGAATTTCTGTCTTGCCACCAGTTAGGAAAACTCCAAACAATTACTTGATTTTCATGAGCAATTTGAGTGAACAAGTCCTTCGGAAGCTGAAGCAGGGAGCATCTTGACGGTAGAGGTTTTTTTTGTTTTGTTTTGTTTTTTTGTTTTTATGTGTGTGTGTGTGTGTGTGTGTTTTGTAAAAGGAGAGAAAGCAAATTAGATTGTATATTTGCACCAAGTGGGCCGTGAGCCAAGAAACCTTACAGCAGATTTTCCCCAAAGTTTTCCATATTTAAACATAACCTCTACTCTTACTTGATTTGTTTAAACTGTAGGCCACCACCTTCTTCTTTTTTTTTTTTTTTTACTAAATAACTTATTTAAAAAGGAAATTAACAACCTAAACAGTAATATCTATTTCAGGTACTAGTTACGTTGTTTTCCCCTCATACTCATTAAAATAAATAAAATATTTGCAATGGAATCACTTAAAATAATATCTCATATCTCTGCTGCTTTGCATGCTTGGGGTGTGTGATAGTCCGAGACTATGAGGAAAGAGGAGGGCTTTTGTCTGGTGGGAGGCCCAGTGGTGGGAGGCCCAAAATGAGCTAAAGGAGGCGGGAAATATGGGAGAGAAAAGAGCATTGCACCCCAAGGTCTGGAAAAAGATAAGGGAAGGAGGCCTGCCTGGAGGGTGCATGGTTATTTGTCTCTTATTCTACTGATCAGAGCAACTTATAGAACCAATAAGAGATGGGGAAGTAGCTTCTATGTCTTGGTAAGACAAATTGTACAAAATTTGTGGCATTTTTTAATGCATCTCAACTCATATAATCACAGGCTCAGAGACTCAACAGAATCATCATAATTCAAAAAATGTAAGATTAATTTGAACTGTCATTTTCATTTTCTTTCAAAGCTAAAACCTGTTTGGGGCTGAGCTCTACAGAAGTAGGTCAGGATGGAGCGGAATCTATAGACAGTTTTATTCTCTCACTGTTATTTCGGGGTACTGATTCTCAGAGAACCTACTTGGCATATGTACACATGCTCACAACAACACACAGCCTCTGAGTCTGCTGTAGATTTCTTGTGCTACTTTGTGAACTAGGAGTCTGTTTTCATAATTATAAGTGTGATGAACCAAATGAAAGTCTTAATTTTATTAAAAACTTGATTTAGTTTAGCCTAAAATAAACATAACCTATATTGTTTTTATGTGGCATCTCTTGGTGGGTGAGGCACCTGATCCAAACATCTCAGGAGACAAGTATTTGCTTCAGATAGAGGAATTGTCCCACCTCAGAGAGGAGGTGGAGAAAGGATTTCTATCTCACTGAATTCATTCTGTGATAGTGTTTTATTGAGTACATGTAGTAGATTTTATTTTTAAAGATTTATTTACTTATTTATACAAGAACTGGGGTACAGGCCAGATTCATGGGAGGGTGAGAAGATTCACCAGAGTCAGAGCGGGGAACAGAACAGGCAGACTGATGAAATACACTGCTGAGGGGAGCAGTGGGCGAGACAGGAGAGGTCTGCTGCACCATGTGGGACTCTTGCTGGTCGACTGGGATTGAACCGGCGCTGCTGAGGCTGCAGACAGCCTCCCAGTGCTGTGCTCAACTACCTGCGCCACCAGTAGATTAATAATACATGCAGTAGATTATTGTTACTTCAAAAGTATAGAAGAGAATGATATGTCAACTGTAGTGACAAATGTTTAAGCAGCAGTGGCATGCACACAGGTCTTCTAACATTCCTTGAATATTTCAAAACATGTCATTGTTAAAATTTGGGAATGATTATGTTTTCTAAATCTAACCATGCATAAGTTTCCCCTTTGAAAATATATATATATGCAGATGGACAGATAGCGATAGATGTGTATGAAATATATAATATTGATGCACATACACCTCTATGAAGTGGAGGTGCCATCTTCCTCATTCCCACCTTGCATTACAAGTCTCAGCGTGCTGTAACCGGACTTCCTGAGTAGGGGGCAAGTGGGAAGGAGCAAGGTGTGTAGATTCAGGGAAGGGGACTTGGAAGACACACGTGGAAGAGAGACATATGCACACTTGGAAGAGATGCTTCATAGAGACGTGTGGGGAGGCTGCTCCTGGCCCTTGCCAGACAGTGGAAGCCATTATCCTGATTCCATGCTAGATAATTATGTGGTACATATTGAATTTTGAGAGTCTTCTCTGTCCCAGTTCTCTTGAAACTGCCTGCTTAACCCCGTACTTATGGTTCCCTGATGAATGGTACTGTAGACTTGTTGCAAGTTTTGGGGCATCCATGTCACTGTTTCAGGCTGACCCTGTTTGGTGAAACATTTTCCCATGAAAATGAGTAACTTGGGGTGTTTTAATGGGAAACTATTCTTTGAAGTCCTTTCTTCCCTCTCTACCCATGTATACCAGTTACATCAGAAGTCTTTAATGTTGGCCTCCCTGGTGCTGCAGGTCTTAAAGTCTCAGCACCATGAAGCTATCACCAGCCACTGCAGCATGAGTTCAATTCCCAGCCAGGGAGCTGACCCACAAGGCACAGCAGACCTCTCCTGTCTCACCCACTG